GGCCAATATCTCTGATGAACATACAGGCAAAAATCCTTGACGAAATATTAAACTGAATCCAACAATATGTTTAAAAAAATCATTTGCCACAATCAAATGGGATTTATTCCTGGGATGCAAGGGTGGTTCAGTATTCACAAATCAATCAACATAATACATCACATCAACAAGAGAAAGGAAAAAAGCCATACAATCATTTCAGTAGGTGCAGAAAAAACATTTGACAAAGTACAACATCCATTCATGATAAAAAAAAACTTTAACCAATATAGGTTTGGAGGAAACCTACCTCAGCATAATAAAGGCCATATCTGAAAAACCCACAGCTAATATCATACTCAATGGTAAAAAACTGGGAGCTTTTCTGCAAAGATCAGGAATAAGACAAGGATGTCCACTTTCACCACTTTTATTCAACATAATACTGGAAGTCCTAGCCACAGCAGTCAGACATGAAAAAGAAATAAAAGGCATCCAAATTGAGAAGGAAGAAGGAAAACTTTCACTATTTGTAGATGATATGATACTATATATAGAAAACCTGAAAGAGTCCACTAAAAACTACTAGAACTGATAAATGAATGCAATTCAGTGAGGTTGCAGGATATATTATATATTAATGAAATATATATGATATATATATATTAATGAAATAGCAGAAAGAGAAATTAAGAAAACAGTCCCTTTTACAAGTACACCAAAAATAGTAAGATACCTAGGAATAAACTTAACCAAGGAGATGAAAGACCTATACTCTGAAAACCATAAAATATTGATGAAAGAAATTGAATATGACACAAATGGAAAGATACTACATGCTCATGGATTGGAAGAACAAATATTGTTAAAATGTCATTACTACCCAAGGCAATCTACAGATTTCATGTAATCCCTTTCAAAATGCCAACAGCATTTTTCACACAACTAGAATGAATAATCCTAAAATTTGTTCGGAACCACAAATAACCCTGAATAGCCAATGCAATCTTGAAAAAGAAAAACTAGAGGTGTCACAATGTCAAAATTCCAAATTTCAAGATACAGTACAAAACTAGTAATCAAAACGGTATGGTACTGTCAAAAAAACAGACACAGATCATTGGAACAGAATAGAGAGCCCATACATAAACACAATTATATGGTCACTTAATCTTTGACAAAAGGAGGCAAGAATATACATTGGGAAAAAGTCCCTTCAACAAATGGTATTGGGAAAACTGGACAGCAACATGCAAAAGAATGAAACTGGACCACATTCTTAGACCATACACAAAAGTAAACTCAAAATGAATTAAGGACCTAAATATGAGACCTGAGACCATAAAAATCCCAGAGGAGAACAGGCGGTAATTTCTCCGACATCAGCTGCAGCCACATTTTTTCTATTTATGTCTCCTAAGGTGAGGGATACAAAAGCAAAAATAAGCTATTGGGACTTCATCAGTATAAAAATTTCTGCACAGCAAAGGAAACAATCAATAAAACTAAAAGCCTACTGAACGGTAGGAGATATTTGCAAATGACCTGTCTGATAAAGGGTTAGTATCCAAAATACATAAAGAACTTCCATAACTTGGGCACCTGGGTGGCTCAGTCAATTAAGCCTCTGCCTTCGGCTAGGTCATGATCCCAGGTTCCTGGGATCGAGCCCCACATCGGGCTCCCTGCTCAGCAGGGAGCCTGCTTCTCTCTCTCCCTCCTGCTCTGCCTACTTGTGCTCTCTCTCTTTCTGTCAAATAAATAAATAAAATCTTAAAAAGAACTTCTCAAACTCAACACCAGAAAACCCCAAATAATCCAATTTAAAAATGGGCAGAAGACATGAAGAGGCATTTCTCAAAAGAAGACATCCAGATGGTCAACAGACACATGAAAAAATGCTCAGCATCGCTCATCAGGGAAATGCAAATCAAAACCACAATGAGATAGCACCTCACACCTGTCAGAATGGCTGAACTCAAAAACACAAGAAACGACAGGTGTTGGCAAGGATGTGAAGAAAAAAGAACCCTCACACACTATTGATAGAAATGCAAACTGGTGCAGCCATTGTGAAAAACAGTATGGAGGCTCCTGAAAAAATTAAAAATGGAATGACCATATGATCTCGTAATTCCACGACTGGGTATTTACCCAAAGAATTTGAAAACACTAATTTGAGAAGCTGTATGCACCCCTTTGTTTATTTCAGTGTTATTTACAATAGCCAAACTATGGAAGCAACCCAAGGGTCCATTGGCAGGTGAATGGATAAAGAAGATGTGATATATATACACAAGGGAATATTACTCAGCCATAAAAATGAATGAAAATCTTGCCATTTGCAACAACCTGGATGGATCTAGAGGGTATAACACTAAGTGAAATAAGTCAGAGAAAGACAAATACCATATGATTTCACTCATGTGGAGTTATAAAAACAAGGAAAAAAGAGGGACAAACCAAGAAATAGACTCTTAACTATAGTTAGAGAACGAACTGATGAAACTGATAGTTACCAGAGGGGAGGTGGGTGGGGGCCAGAGGTGAAATAGGTGAACAAGATTAAGAGTGCACTTGTTATGATGAGCACTGAGTAATGTATAGAGTTGTTGAATCACTATATCATACACCTGAAACTAATATGTACACTGGAATTTTTTTAAAAAATAGTATATACCCACTTTGCCACTTTCCCTCTATGTCTCCTCTCATAACTACACTCTAATCCTGAGAGAAACATCAGGCAAATCCAAATAGAATGGCAGCCTGCAAAATTACTTGACCAGTAGCCTTCAAAACTGTCAAGGTCATCAGAAGCAAGGACCATCTGAGAAACCATCAAGCCAAGAGTTGTCGAAGGAGACATAACAAGTAAAATGTACTGTATTTATTTTCGTTGGGTCCTGGACCATAAAATTTATTTTTTAGAAAATGTTCAACATTACTAGCCATTAAAGAAATTGAAATTGAGGTGTCACTACACACCTATCAAAACAGCTGAAACAAAAATACTGATAATGCTAAATGCTGGTGAGGATGCAGAGAAACTAGATTTTTTGTACATTCCTTTAAGCACTTTGAACCTGTAGTCACACTGCCTTCTGGCCTCCCTCATTTCTCCTTAAAAGTCAACTGTTGATTCTCTGAGATGGTTGCATTTCTCATACTTGGAGTTCCTGGACTTTCTTGGATATTTGGGTTATTGTTTTTCAGTAAATTGGGGACATAGCCATGTTTTTTCTTTGAATATTTCTTTCTCTCTTCTTCTGGTACTCCCATTACCTGTGTGTTGAGGCTTTTAATAGTGTCTCACATTTCTCTGAGGCCCTGCTTATTTTTCTCATTCTTTTTACTCTGTTCTTCAGCCTGCATAATCTCTATCAGTCTGTCTTCAACTTGACTAATTCTCTTTTGTACCAGTTCCCGCCTCCTGTTGTGTTCCTCTAAGTGAATTTTTTTTAAGTATTTTATTTTACTTTTTAACTCCAGAATTTCCATTTGGTTCCTTTCTTTTTATAATTTCTGTCTCTTTATTGATTTCTCTACTTAACTTGACATGATCATCATACCTTCCTTCTTCACTCCTACGTCCCTTCCATTCAGTGTATTTCTTTATAATGGCTGCTTTGAAATCTTTTTCTGGTAAATTTGACATCTGGTCGCTCTTTCTGTTGCCTGCTTTCTTCCCCCCACGTATGGGTCACACTTCTTTATTTCTTTGCATGCCTCATAATTTTTTGTTGGAAACTAGACATTCTAGATAACTCTGGATACTAGTCTTTCCCCACCCCACCCCAGGCTTATTATTGTTATTTGCTTGTTTATTTGTGTAGTGACTGGTTAGATTATTTTAGTGAAGTCTCATCACCTCCACCACCAGGAGTGTTGAGCCTTTGATGTTGTTCCTTAGGGAGGCATAGCTTCAGGTATGCCGGCAGTCATCCTGGGATGACTGTGGCACTGGGAGAGCTCTCACCCGCTCTTTTCCTGACCACACCCAGCTAATTAGCCCCGCTAATTGCGTGCTGTTTGCTCTACCAGAACACTACCGGAATGTGCTCTGGAACACAAATTACATTCCTCTGCAAACTATTCCAGTCAAATCATAGCTCCTTTCAGAGTAGTTACTGAAGTCATTGTCTGATATTTGTTCTGCCCCCAAGAGGACTCCTCTCAGCCGTCATACTCTTTGTTCTCTCCTACAAACTAGTCAGCCCACAGTCTAGGCTGTATCTTCTTTTTTTTTTTTTTTTTAAAGATTTTATTTATTTATTTGACAGAGCGAGAGAGCACAACTAGGCAGAGAGGCAGGCAGAGGGAGAGGGAGAAGCAGGCTCTCCACTGAGCAGGGAGCCCAACATGGGGCTCGATCCCAGGACTCTGGGATCATGACCTGAGCCGAGGGCAGCCGCTTAACCGACTGAGCCACCCAGGCACCCCAGATACACAGTTTTAAATTAAATTTGTAGCTACTTTAGATACCTAGAGTATTCTGGTAAAATACACTGGAAGGTTGTAAGACCGATGCCTCTGGGTAGAGGGCTGGGTGTGTAAAGTGGAGAAAAATTATTTTCAGTTTATTTTCTTTTGGTCTTTGCCATGTATGTGAGTTTCCTCTTCTATAAGAAATGGGTTTACGAGAAACTACAGAGTGTAAATACAATTGTGATTTTAAAAAACAAGAAATTTCCTAAGACAACATACGCATTAAGGAATTCTGGGAGAAAAAAAGACACTATCACAGTGAAAATTGGTTGCCTTTTGATGACGTGACTTTGAGTGATTTCGTTAAAATGTTATTTTCTAAGTTAATTTTATTACTGCTTATAAAATTTGGTGGGGGTGGCACAAGGAAGGGATATTTTTAAAACTTAAATTTCCTTTAAAGCTTACCTTAAAGTTCAACTTCTAGAATCAAGTAGTAGAGTCTAAGTTGTGCTACACATTGTACAAAAAGACCTGGACAAACACCCTCCCTCTGAGATGTTTGCTGCATTATCTTTGCTTTTGTGTTTCAGTGCCAAGCCTAAGTCAGAGATCCACGTATCGATGGCCACTCCAGTTACTGTGTCCATGGAAACTGTGTCCAGTCAAAATAATGATCAGCCCACCATTGCAGTCCCTCCCACGGCTCAGCAGCCTCCACCGACCATCCCAACCATGATCGCAGCCGCAAGCCCCCCATCACAGCCAGCTGTCGCCCTCTCAACCATTCCGGGAGCAGTCCCCGTCACTCCCCCCGTCACTACCATTGCGGCTGCCCCTCCGCCATCAGCTACTGTAGCTGGCAGTCTCTCTTCTGTGTTGGGCACTCCGGTACCTGAGATAAAAGTTAAAGAGGAAGTGGAACCAATGGACATCATGAGGCCGGTCTCTGGTAGGTTCATTCATGGAGTTCTCTTCATTGGCACGTGCTACTTCCTCTTTACCTGACTCTCCTCGAGGGCCAGACTCTTGCGTGACCCTCAGTTGTGAAGCCTGACCCTTTAGTGCCCGTTGTAAATTTGCATGTCATTCATTTTAAGAAGGGGACTGCTAGGCTCCTTTGGAAACTAAAACCATTTTTGCTGCCCTTTTAGTATCAATTTTATTTCTTACCAAAATCATAAAAAAGATTAACATTTCCCCAAGAATATCCTTAAATAAAGCTTCTGTGGTTGTATTGTTTTCTATTTCTCATTTTGATTTTGAGTCTTCTTTTTTTCTTAGTTAATGTAGTTAAAGCATTCCCTGTTTTGCTTCGTTTTGGAAAAACTGGTTATTACTTTCAGTGTTAACGTTATTGTTTATTCTGGTCTCTCTTTCTGATTTTTCATTATTTCCTTCCTCTACTAAATTTCATTTAAGTTTCTTTTTTTTCTAGTTCTTTGTGGTATAATGTTAAGTTGTTTATTTGAACTTTTTTCCGTTATTTATTATAAGCATTTAGAGTATAAAAAAAATTAAAAATAGAAAAAAGGGTCAAAATAAGATCATAGCTAAGTGCTGATTATTTACGATTTATTCCCTGCCAAGTTTTGTTGCCCTGTTACACAGTGAAGCAAGATTTATGTTGTTGAAACTTGATAAACTTACATGTGATTAGTAAAATCATAAAACTCCTCACTGCTTTCTTTCCCTCCTCTCCTCAACTCTAAACGTCCAGTGTGTAAAATGCAGGTCGCTTTGGAGGTTTTCTTTTTGTTTGTTTATATGTTAGTAATTTATTGAGAAATGTTCCTTCCCCTGACTACAAAAATAGCATTTAATGAACAAAATTTATGAAATACAGATAAGGCCAAAGTGGAAGGCAAGGCATTTTAGCCGGCACTGCCCTCTTACCATACCCCGTGCTGTTTGTTCAGTAAGAGGTGTGGTGGTGCTGTGTCTGCAGTTGTTAAACCTGCTGTTTGTTTTCATTCATTATGCCCTGAAATATTCTTCTATGTTACCCATATCTAGCCTCAGCACTTCGTTGAAAGACACCACGGATAACCCAGGAGGGGAAATGAAATGTTTTCAATTTTACTGTTCTTCTCTCTTGATTTCAATAGCCTCTTAACCTCTCTGTGCTAGGAAGTTGTTAGTAATCACACCTTAAACTGTAGGGCTCTACGCCAGGTACTGATGATACAGCCTTATACAAAACAAGTACATCTCCATCATCTTGCAGCTTACATTTTACCAAGGGAGAGAAACCGCCAAGTAAAGCAGTGACAAAATACAGGTATACCTCAGGGAGATTGTGGGTTCATTTCCAGATCACCACAATAAAGCAAGTATTGCAATAAAGTGAATATCACAATAAAGCAAGTCAAATGAATTTGTTGATGTCCCAGTACATAAAAAAGTTATGTTTACACAATACTACAGTCTATTAAGTGTACAATAGCATTATGTCTTTAAAAACAATGTACATACTTCACTGAAAAAAGTTTATTGCTAATAATTGCTAACCATCATCCGAGCTTTCAGTGAGTCATAATCAGTGATCACAACCACCATAACAAATATAATAATAATGAAAAAGTGTGAAATAGAGAATTACCAAAATGTGATACAGAGACATGAAATGAGAAAATGCTATTGGGAAAATGGTGCTGATAGACTTGTTTAACACAGGGTGGCTACGAACCTCCAGTTTTTGAAAAATGCAATATCTGCGAGGTGCAGTGAAGGGAAGCACAATCAAGTGAGGTATGGCTCTGTAAGGGAAAGTTAGGGCTGGGGCTGTGATTTTAAGAAGAGCTTTAAAGGGAGGGCCTCACTGAGGAAGTGATCTTTGAACAGAGACATTAAAAAAGATGAAGTGCTAGTCATTAGGATATCTGGAACAAGAACATTCCAGGCCTCAGGAGCATGCCTAGTATGCTCAGAATAGCAAAGACAGTTCAGGTAGACAGTCCAGGGATGTGGACTTCATAAAATCATTAGGGATCCAGGCTCCTACCACCCCTAGTTTGACCCTCATGCTTTTGATTCAGGATAGCTGCTAGAACTCTAGCTATCATATCTGAGTTCCAGGGTGACAAGACAAGGAACAGGTCACACCTTCTTTTAAGGTAACTTATTAAAAGTGCTACAACACACTTCTGTTTTCATATGGCCGCACCTATCTGTAAAGGAGGCAAGTAAATAGAGTCTTTCAGCTGAATGGCAGTGTGTCCATCTCCAAATGTGAGGGTCCTCATTCTAAGGATGGTGAAGTTGTGGTATCTTAGAAAGCAGTTGGCACCCTCTGCCCTAAGTAGAGTGCTTAGCACAGTGCCAGGCACATAGGAAGACTCAGTAAGTGGTAGTTATCTTTTCTGTCTTCTCAACCATTCTCATTGGTTGGAAATCAAGTGAAGCTTTCCATTATTTTGGGATTCTCATACATGTATGTACTCTTTTTCCTATGACAGCAGTTCCTCCCCTGGCTACCAGCACTGTGTCTCCATCTCTTGCGTTGCTGGCTAACAACCTGTCCATGCCTACAAGTGACCTACCACCTGGTGCCTCCCCAAGGAAGAAGCCTCGAAAGCAACAGCACGTGATTTCAACAGAAGAAGGGGATATGATGGAGACAAACAGCACTGATGATGAGAAGTCCACGGCCAAGAGTCTTTTGGTCAAGGCTGAGAAACGCAAGTCTCCACCCAAGGAGTATATTGGTAATGGTCACTTGGGCTAGCTATTATCGTGTGAGGCTTTCCCACTTAAGTCAGGAGTCTGTCGCTGAGGCTGTTTACATAATTGGGTTTCACTTAGGGATCACTTCTTGGAGTTATACTGGGAGGATTCTTGACAATATATAATAAGTTATTTAGTATCTTCCTTTTCTTTTCTTCTGAATAGATGAAGAAGGTGTGAGGTATGTCCCAGTGCGTCCAAGACCTCCCATTACTTTGCTCCGTCACTATCGGAACCCCTGGAAGGCTGCTTACCACCACTTTCAGCGGTACAGTGATGTCCGGGTTAAAGGTTAGTTGCATGAAATTGGTCTTTCATTTGACTATAATCACAGTAGAATAGGAAGCTAGAATTATAATTTTCTAGTTTCCAAAAACCCAAGTGGTGACAGGATGACCTCTTTAGCACCCAGGGTAGTTGCAGAAGAGCTGTACTAGATTGTTATTTGACATAGTCCACACTGGTTCCGAGGATGTCAGATGTACATACGTTGTAAGCCCCAGGAAGTTTATTTTCGAAAAGACGTTTTGTTTAACATATGTGAAGCTCTTGAAATAGTCCAGGGCAAACACTCAGTAAATGGTTTTGTTGTTGTGCTTGAGAATTACTTTTTTTTTTTTTTAAGATTTTATTTATTTATTTGACAGAGAGACACAGCGAGAGAGGGAACACAAGCAAGGGGAGTGGGAGAGGGAGAAGCAGGCTTCCCGCGGAGGAGGGAGCCCGATGCAGGGCTCAATCCCAGGACCCTGGGATCATGACCTGAGCCGAAGGCAGACGCTTAACGACTGAGCAGCCCAGGCGCCCCAGAGAATTACATTTTAATAAACCCACGTATAGTAAAAATAGCTGATCGTACTTTGCAAATATCTACAAATATTTCTACTGATAGGCTTTAAGCATCATTAATCTCAAATGTAATTGCACAGAGAAGTGTAAGTTTTCAGAGAATTGGTCACATTCCCCACTCCCTCGCATAAATTCTACTTGGAAATTTCTCTGAGGGTTTCCTTGAAGCCTCAAGATGACTCAGAGTTGGATGGTATTGTCTAATGTCTGCAAGGGGGGGGTGAGGGTTCTGACAATTTAGTCTCTGAATGGAAGTACCAAGGTGGCTGCCCTTGCAGTGGTTCTTCCTCATGAAATACGTTGAGCTCTGAAAACAAGCTAGATTTCCAAAGGTCAGGGAGTGGTGGCCTTTAATGGAAGAAGGATATGGGCTACTAAACGTCTCTTCACATCACAAGAATTCCATATCATACCAGGAAAGTGTTTTAAAGTATTGCCTGGTAACATTTTAAGCCATTCTGAAAGATTGTTACGGTCTTCTGGGACTCATTCTTCAAAAACTATCTCAGGAAAGGTAATATGACAGCTGAAAGTATTGATACAAATAGGCTCTTGACTATTAGACTTTATTTTTTGTGTGTTAAAGATTTTATTTATTTGACAGAGGGAGACACAGTGAGAGAGAGGGAACACAAGCAGGGGGAGGGAGAGGGAGAAGCAGGCTTCCCGTGGAGCAGGGAGCCCGATGCAGGGCTCGATCCCAGGACCCTGGGATCATGACCTGAGCTGAAGGCAGACGTTTAACGACTGAGCCACCCAGGTGCCCCGACTATTAAACTTTATTGATCTGCTTTGCCCAAGCTTTAAAATCATGTTCATATAAATCAAGATGGAATAGTAAAAATTGGTCAGGTAATTTCATAAGAAGGAAAGAAAAGAGAAATGGAAGAACAAAAAATGCAGGAAATAAACAGAAAGCAAATAATAATATGGCAGACTTAGCTTTACCTATCAGTAATTACCTTAAATAGTCTGAACATACCAATTAAAACGCCAGTTGGCAGAGTGGATCCACAAAATGATCCAGCTCCATTCTGTCTTTAAGAAACTCACTTCAGATTCAGTGACAAGTAGATTGACAGTAACAGGATGGAAATAATACATAGAATGCAAAAATAAAGCAAGAGTGGCTGTGTTAATGTCAAATCAGGTAGACTTCAGAGGAGAGAAAATTACTAGAGACAAAGAAGGACATACTAATAAAGTACTGAACAGAAATGAAGAGCTTCAGAATATATGAAGCAAGAATAGGACAGCTAAAAGGAGAAGTAGGCAAATGAGCAGTGGTAGTTAGAACTTCAACACCCTGCTCTCAGCAACTAGTAAAACTACTTGACAAAAAGCAGCAAGGACTACACACCACCACATCTAACAGACCTTTAATACACTCCCAACAGCAGCAGAATGCACGTTGTATCAGGTGCCTACAAAACATAGATAAATCATATCCTGGATCATAAAATATAAACTTCAACAAATTTAAAAGAATTGAAATCATACAGGGTATCTTCATTGACCAGAATGGAATCAAACTAAAAACCAGTAAGAGAAAGATAACAGAAAATTCCTTGAACACACAAACTGCCAAAACTCAACCAGAACCAAATAGACATTCTGGTTAGTCATAACCAATGAATAAGTTGTACCCATAGTTTTGAAGCTTCCAAACAGAAATCTCTATTTTCAGATACTTTAACTGGGAAATTCCACTAAACTTTTTTTTTTTTTTTTTTTAA